CTCACAAACATCACTCATATCGCTGCCCAAGTGAACCAACTACATCATCAGATTACAGCTGGCCAGCATCATCCCTTAGGACAGCAACCTATGCATGCTCCGATACCAGCGGCCAATCTGGCCACGACAGATTATCAGTCTCCACTTAAGGCAAGGCCGCGCGAAGGATCATGGATGGATATCATCGACCAGATCTCGCCTGGAACTAATCTTTCCGATTTTGAATCCAACTATTCGCAGGCTGACCGCAACCGCCAAACGTCTCTTCGAGAGATTGAGTTCATCTCGTGCGGTTATGCCAAACTCGCTCACGCTCCATTCGACCAGACAGCTATTGACCTCGGTCAAGGTGGTGCCGCCGCTTCGCGTCATCCATGGTTCACCCGACGCATGGCCGCCCTTTCTCCTGCAATGATGAGCACCAAATGGACCTATCTTGCTGACATCATACAAGAAGTTGATTCGTCAGAGTTCACCGTCCTTGAGGATGGCTGGAACCTGCAAACTGGTTGGGAAGACGATGAGGAAGCGCGCGCTGTTGAGTTTGATGGTCTTTTTCCTGGTGGTACGGGGCGCTTCACAGGCACCATACGCCATTCTGACAGGATGGTCGATGATGTTTCTGGGATGTAGTGATGCTTCTGAACAGTCTTTGCTTTGCAATTGTGTACCAATACTACCACAAAACTTTGGAGAATTCACTTTGTGACTAGGGCAGAGGGGTTTGCGATAACAAAATTCCAGGAAGAAACACTCAACAACAGCATCAGGCGGTATAGGCCTTCACCTAGTGATGAGTTGGCACATGCACAGACGCAGAGTGTTTAGCTATTATGTAAATATCTCTCTGTGAAGCCTTGCTGATATTGAGAGGCAGAAAATGGGTGATTACTCTTCATTCAATCGTTGGGAACTCTATGTCCCCTTGACAAGTGTCTCGGCAGGGCATCGTGCCAAGTAGGCCAGAAACCATTGCGTCGGGCGCAGACTGTAGCTCTTCCAAATAGATCATCCTACCTCTTTGAGGTAAGTTTTGTATTCCTTTTTGGTACCGCAATTCGAGCCCAGACTCGTTTGGAGACTAGCGTGCGGGTTGATGAGGGGGAAAAGCGGAGGAAAGACCGACGCATCGTGTCTTGGCAGCCGTGATCAGTGATGTCATTCATTCTCTCCATCTAATGTATGGTCTCTCTCTCAGTCACCACCAAACATCTTCTGAAACCAATTTTCAAGCTTCGTTGTGTTACATTGTGTAGAATAACCTCGTGGGAACATGCTGATCTTCTGTCTCAAGAGGTTCTTCAACAGTCCTCACGGATCGACAGCAGTAATCACAGATTGCAGAATATGCAGTAGCGTCTTAGCCTCACTATCCCCTTTTGTCAGACACAGCCACCTGGACACATGCACCGCCATCCAAAAGGGAAGACGCGGAAAGGCTAAGATCCTTTGAGGAGTGAGAAGACTACGGATCTTGATCTATCCGTACCAAGATGGCTAGGCGATGTCTTGGGAGCGATCATACCGCAGAAAGGGATGTAAGCTCATTATTCAAGAGATGGAAAGTACCATTACCAAGACATTGAACGGCGTCTTCACGGTATTATTACAACCCACCGTTCATTGGTCCATCGTGCTATCGATTTATGAATCCCCTGGCCAGATGCTTGCCTCAGTAGCTTTGCATGGGATTGTTTGTGATCGTCTTACGTTCTAAGGGCCGCTCCAAGACCACTAACCAAAAGCTCGGGCATGCCTCTCACTTCCAAGTCTTTTGGCATTACGAAAAGGCTTTCATACCCATGTTGAGGACTTGGCTGCTCAGTCCCAAAAGCCTCACCAAGACACCGGCATGTATCTTCAGAACCTAAACACGAACCAATGACCAATCCTCGTCTACTCACTGATGTCATCTGGATCTGAATGGGAAACATCGTGGTAACTTTAGGGAGAAAGCGGAGAGCTGCTTTTGTATAAAGACTGGTGCAAGGATGGATTCAGAGTAGCATCGATCCACGAACTCACTCTCCTCACTACACCCACAAATCACGCATAGCTGGAATCGCAGTCACGCACAACACGTTCACGATGCACTTCATTACCCCAGCCCTCGTTGGTCTGCTCGCTACCCCTCTGGCCCTGGCCGCCCCAACTCAGGCATCTGATTACAAAGAGAGCTGCAAGAAGGACTTTGACAAGGTGTGGAACTCACACGAAGACAAATGGTGGAAGAAGGAGAAGACCTTCTACTTCGACGCTGAGTATGTCGTTAAGGCCACTCCTGACCAAGTCATTGCCAACAGCGGTGTCCCTACACCCGGTGAGCAAGGTGCACGCGGCCTTTTCAAGTACGGCATCAACATCGCAGAGAACGTAATCTGCTACAACATCACCCTCAGCGGCGTGACTGGCCAATATCAGAGCCCAGCGATAACCGCGACACACATCCATGAGGGTGTCAAGGGCAAGCCCGGCCCACCCCGCCTGGTAAGCATGGCCCCTTTGATATATATTCTACCTAAGTTCTGGGAAACACAGAATATTTACTGATAGTTTCTAGGCCTTCCCCAACCCCACTGGTCCTGACTACCGCCGTAACTCTGTCGGATGCTTGAAGGGCCCCTTCTTCGTCAACGTAACCAACCCAGCGACCGGCAAAGACCAAGCCGATGGCTTCCATGTCTCCCAGATTGTAAAGAACCCCAGTGGTTTCTTCACCGACTCGCATACCTCCAAGTTTACTGCTGGCGCTGTTCGCGGTCAGCTTCCTGGCTACTAAATACGATATTTCGGGGTCTGGGTCCACAAGAAGTCGTGGATTTGAAGTGGATTGGTGAGGATATGTATGGGGCTAAGTACACACTATACAAGTGTAGTGTAATGTAATTTCTAAGGAACAGTATACGTAGATATCATTATATTCTGGTTCATATTCTGTGTCTTGCATGGTTGGTGTTTGCGGCCCGAATATTGAGTAAAACGATCTGGTACGCTGAACTATACCGACCAGGAATCTTTTTTTATTTATTAGAAAACTAATATGTGCTAGTTCTTCCAAATATCACGAATAGCATATATGTGCGTCGGAACGCACCCGGAATTCGATTCCGAGCATCTTCATATTACTGGCGTCATTCACGACAACTTCTCCAACTGTCCACCATCGCCGATTCATATACAAAACAAAACTAATCATGCCACTTCAGCTCGTAGGATCTACGTCAGGTACCCGCCCATCCAGTAGATCTGTCTACGCCCTCAGCGCTCGAGTTAGTGGTGGGCCATGCATGACGTCGACTTGATGTCAAGATGGTGACGCCCTCCATATACATATACAAATTCCTCCTCATAAATAGTCTCCTGTACGAAGCACAATAGTCGAAATTATACAAACCTTCGCATTTCCATCATTAAATTCGAATCGTCGATACTTCTCAATTTCCCAAATCCAAATACACATCTCCCAAACATGAGCCAGAACAAGAACCCCGACGCAGTCAGCGACGGGCGCCAGTTTGCAGGACACGTAGCTCCCAGCGAGCCTCTCACGAACGGTGGTGTAAGTAGCCGTCGTCCTTTCCAAAAAACATACTGGAGCGTCTTGATCAATCACATTGCATCTGGCAATGGCTCAATCTGACCCGTAGATAACACGTCTTCATCAACATCAGCTAATCAAACCCCCAGCATCAAATTGGCAGACTCGTCGGCAAAGACGCCGTCCCCGAATTCCACGCTCAAACCCTCCCCGCGGGCTCGGCTCCCGCAGACAAAACCTACACACCCAACCCCGACCTCAACAATCAAAAGATGTATCAGCAAGCTTCCGACACGCTGCAAGGCGCCACATCCGCCGACTTGCACACTGGTCTCGGCCACCCAGGCCAGGGCCAGACGTCCAAGGAGCTGCACGATGGACGGAGAGTTGGACAGGGTCTTGCTGGACTAGCGTCTGGCGTCAAGGATCAGCAGTCAGGTGGGGACATTAGGGAGCTGAAGGATGATCCGAAGTATGCTGCGCAGAGGAATCTGGGGGATGTGCCGACGGGCCAGAGGGGTAATGTGGGTGGGCCTCCTGCTGAGGAGAGGGAACCTGCTCAGGCTTAGATTCTTCTTGATTCAAATATGAATGATGATAATTGAACATTTCCACTTGGTGCTTCTTGAGAGAAAGAGAATAGGTACACGTGAAGAGAATCTGTGGTTCAGTCTTCGGTTCGTTTATCTTGGGACTTTTATCCGTAACCACATGTTGCAGACTAAAAGAGCCTTTGCCGCGTTGATCATTGATAGATGTATATTTCTGCACAGTTAAAACGAGTTTCGAAGATAGTGCTATAAATCGAGACAATTTTATAATAAACATAAAACTACATCGAAAATGACCCCGAAGGTGGATTCGAAGCACCGGAAGCTGTCTTTAACGAGGCTTCCTGGGCAGCCTTAAACTATTAAAGGTTATGAGGACCTTTCTCTTAACTAGGCAAGACAAAGAAATCTTGACCACATAATGAATACAGCTCTCAGAAGATTTGCAGTCAATCATGTGGTAATACTGGCCCCCAAATGCCAGCTGCGGACTCAGGTGCTTGCCGAGGATATTGGTGGCGTACTTTGCTTCAAGAAAACATCTGGTAGCAGTTCCACACAGCTGAGTAGGACATGGATTGATGCTTGATAAGAGTGATCTGGCCTACCGAACAGCCCAATCAATTTGTGCACACAAATATACGGCTGCACAGTTCCAGTTCGCTTACCAGATGTCCTTACCTGTCTTACAGATCTGGGTTTAGCGCGGATGTCTTTATCCGTTCCCGCCCGTACTACTGCAACGCCTTTGCTTACAGATCGCGTTCAGGGTGCATTCATTGGTTGGTAATTAGAGATGGGATGATTCCTTGTTCTGGGTCATGTACCTGTCGATTACTATACGCAAGGCATAAGAACATTTATATCTGTAGGCCCTCTACCATCGTCATTTTAAATCACGTCACATTACGATGAGGGCTGTTCAATCATTTGCCCTGCTCGGATGGGCAACTGCATTCGCTGCATGTGGAAGCGGCTTGTCCAAGAGATATGAACCGGCAGATGTGATTCAGTCCATCGTCCAACGCGCTACAGCCGGTACGAATCCAGTACCCACAAACTCGCTTGCATGACTTCTAATCATCGCCACACAGACTCGATTGAGCTTGGAGCTGTTCCAGGCCTGGATTTATCTTCTACACTTGAAAGTATAGCCTCTACGTACGCCGATACCAATACGACAAAGCTCTCGGCGCGGGCTATTTCTAATCTCACTGGGCTTATCGACGTCCATGGTAAGCCTATATTCTCACATCTCGATCTTGCATCTAATAGACCCCACAGCGCATTGCGTACCAGATTGGTATCGTGCAATTGTCCCTAGAACCGGCGGAAATCCAACGCCATCATGGAACGTAACTGGACATCTCGACTTCATGGCCAGCCAAAGCATTTCTCAAGCCGTCCTAGCCTTCTCCGCACCAGGCGCAAATGCGTACCCAGGAAACCAGGCCGCTACGATTGCACTTGCGCGACTGATCAACGAACAATCTGCAGCATTTTCTCGGGCCTACCCAGATAAATTCACATTCTACGCTGTCGTCCCGCTACCTTACACGCCAAACGCTATCTCCGAAGCTACATACGCACTCGACACGCTCGGAGCCGCTGGCATCGCGCTCTATTCGAACTTCGAAGGGCGCTATATCGGTGACTCTGCTTTCAAGCCCTTCTTCGAGGCAATGAATGCGCGTGGGATCAACCAGATTATATACGTGCACCCTACAACACCGTACCTACGCATTAACGGCACATTGATTGAGGCCAACCCGACTGTCTATCCTACGGGAAATATTGAATTCTACTTCGAGACAGCGCGTATGCTTGGAGATCTTGCCGTTACACAGACCTTGCTGAACTTCACCAACATCAACTACATCATTCCGCACGTTGGCGGCGCGTTTCCCTCGGTCGCCGATCGGCTTTTGAAGTCGTTCCCGGCGATTTACGATCGCACCATGGATGTCCTTAAGACGCGCTTTTTCTGGGATTCTGCGGGCCCAACGTACTTTCACCAGGTTGGGGGGCTGCTGGCTTACGATATTCCAAGGGCGAATCTGTTTTTTGGGACGGATTTCCCGTATGCGCCGATTTTCACGTATGGTCCATCACTGGTTGGTATTCAGACGTCGCCGTTTGTTACGGATGCTGATAGGGTTGGGATCTTTGCTCAGAATGCGCGAAGATTGTTTGGGGACCGGATTCCATCGTAGATATTGTACGTTAGTTCCGCTGAGAAGGTACGAAATCCCAATTTACATAATTTTTCTGAGACGAGGTTCAAGGTTTTTTGGGCTTGGGACAAGTTATTAGGGGTGGTATGATTTGCGATATTATTATCTTTTCATTAACAGCAGTAGCAGTATTTTATTTACATATCATTGAATCCGTTAGCTTCCATATTCAACGAAAATTTGGATACCTTGTCTGCCTCTTCTCCTTGTATCTTCAACAAAACCGTGTATCCACTGCTTCCCTCAACTTTCACCATTGCATTATATCATCGATGATTAAACACTAGGACTAACTATAGCAAATGCATTAGCCATGCCCTCTCCAGGAAAACGTCTACTTAATGACTTACAACTTGTGGCAGCTAAAAGACTTGTACTGCCTAGTATAAGACACACATTCCTTTTCATAAGCTGCGCCGACTACATGATTTGACTGCTCGTCGTACAGTCCCTCGCAGCCAGCAGCATAGAAAGAGCGGCAACGATAGGTGCCGTCGTATGTGAAGAGAGTGGAGATTGGGAAGATGTTGTCGTCAGTGCATGCTGAATTGGAAGCACCGCCATTGATGTATTGTCGGCATTCGACATTGGAGTATAGGGTGCCGTCAAGTTCAACACAGGCATCGTATGCGTCTGAGGTCATTGAGCGGTAGATGGTCAGACCATTGGCATCACAGTCCGGAGCATTGTAGAAGGTGGCTTCAGATTTGATTAGTTCAGTAGGATGAGAGTGTAAGTATGTGTGACTTACCTTCCCAAGCAGTGGCCGCGCTGAGGAGGGTTGCGAAGAGAGGAATGCGAGAGAAGAGCATGTTGGCGAGGGGTTGTTGGTTTAGTGAAGGAGGAGAGAAGGTGATTGTCTGGACTGTGTTGTTGTGCTTCAATTATGTCGAAACTACAGGCTGTGCTTATACTTGAGAGAAATACAAGTGGAGTAAGAAGAGGCTCACAGTGTGCAGTACTGTACAGCACTATCGATGTCATTATGGATCCTAGGTTTTGGCCCCAAGCCAATTGTTCGTACTTGACCTGAACTAAGGAGTCTTCAGGCCTCCATACTAAGACGGTTGGGGTCTACGGATAGCCGCCCTTCCCGTAATTTTCCCGAAAAGCAATCTAGGCTCTGCAGTTGTATATGCATGACGTATAGCTAGACTCTAATTCTGTCAGGGCCTGGAGGCCTCAATTCTAATATTTAGGTGATGGTTTGGCTGTAAAATGTTGGAGGTAGAGGCCAAGTTGGTTAGATCACAGGTCAGTGAGCGTGCTAGCTAGTAGAGTAGTATCAGTTCAACAAAAGCATGTACATAGTAGCCTTTCCTTGCATGGGACTGAGAAGATAATATTAGATCAAATGATGCCCTCAGAATTACTGAATACGAGCCAGATCAACATGGCTTCTGGATGCGGTGGGGGATCGTTGGCCAGTAAGCTTGTGTCTTGTTCAACAAACGTGCCCGTGCCCACGGGCTGTTGGAAAGCCTAAAAAGTGCTGCAACGAAGCCGTTTGTGGCATTAGGCAAGACATGCTGTCAGACAGAGAATTCACCATTAGTGCAAGCAAATGCCGTGTTGTGGTCCCTGGCCTAGACAAGCGTATGTGATGGCATCCAGTCGGTCTGTTGTGGATGAAGTGTACATATGCAAGACGAGTTAGCGGCGGCGGAAGCGGCGCCCCACCTTGGCTTGCAGGGATGCGGCAGCAGAGATCTCCGGGGCCGAACTTTTTTTGCGACCGCTTGCGACTTGTGAAATTTGTACACACGCGACAATTCCCTTGCAAATTGCCCTGCTCGGACCCATGGCGCCCAGTTTCGACGACGATTTTGTCTACACCATCTCCGACCATGACGATGTGTCCGACGATGGTGGCGCCGACGAGTCTGCGGCGGCGAGCGCAAAGCTAGCAGGCGCTGGCAAGAAGAGGAAATACACAGAGGATCCGGACCTGGGTGTCAGGCCCAAGGAAGTCGCCTCAAAGAAGGCAAAGAAGGACAAGAAGAAGGGAAAAAATGGAAAGCACACCGAGCCTGAACCAGAGCCCGAAGACGACGAAGACGACAACGTAATGCCACAACCGGGCGAAGACATTGAGCAAAATGACGACATTGCCAGCGACTTCGAGTTTGCTGTCGGAGATATAGACACGGGCTTTGTGGAGGAGTTCGATGGCTGGGGAAACGACAATGGTACGGTCGCGCAGGAGTCTGGAAAGAAGAGCACTGCTGTAGACGTCGACGACATTATTGAGCGCAGGCGGAATAAGCAGAAGGCAAAGCAGACTGCCGAGCCAGACTCCTCAGACGCCTCGGTCGACGGTGACTTTGAGGGTTTCGGCGACGATGATGAGCTCATGGCAGAGGACGGCTTCGGTATGGGCGCTCCCAGCGACTCTGAAGATGAAGAGGATGAGGAAGAAGCTTCAGACAATGAACAAGACAGGCCAAACGAGGACTCCGATGAGGAGAATGGGTCAGACGGCGATCAAGACGAAGAGGAAGATTTACCTCACGTTCCCCACCCCATGGATCTCGAGGCTGCCGAGACAGAAGATGAGGATGCAAGCGAGCAAGAAGACGCCGTTGAAGCCAAGAAGGCCGCCGCATTTTTCGCGCCCGAAGACAGTGTCACAATCAAAAAGAAAAAGGGCGCAAAAGGTGCGACAGGGTCATTCCAGGCCATGTCACTCTCGCGACCTATTCTGCGGGGTCTAGCATCCGTAGGCTTCACGGAGCCGACTCCGATTCAGAGCAAGGCTGTTCCTATCGCCATGCAAGGAAAAGACGTTGTTGGTGGTGCTGAGACTGGTTCGGGTAAAACGGCTGCTTTCCTCATCCCAATCCTCGAGCGTCTGTTGTACCGCCAGAAAAAGATCCCGACCACACGCGTTGCCATCTTCATGCCTACGCGTGAGTTGGCAGTCCAGTGTTTCAATGTCGCTACGAAGCTTGCGTCTTTCACCGACATCACCTTTGCACTGATGGCTGGTGGTTTCTCCTCGCGTGAGCAAGAGGCTGTTTTGAAGACGAGGCCGGATGTGGTCATTGCGACGCCCGGTCGTTTTATTGACCACATGCATAACACGGCTGCCTTTCAGGTTGAAAACCTTGAGATCCTTGTTCTTGATGAAGCCGATCGTATGCTCGAAGAAGGTTTCGAGAGCCAGCTGAACGAGATCCTTACCACCATCCCCAAATCACGCCAGACAATGCTCTTCTCTGCTACCATGACGAGCTCAGTCGACAAGCTGATTAGAATTGGCATGGACAAGCCTGTGCGGCTCATGGTAGACTCTAAGAAACAGACCGTCAAGGGACTGACGCAGGAATTCGTGAGATTGAGGCAAGGCAAGGAAGACAAAAGGCTCGCATATCTGATGTACATCTGTGAAAAGATCTACACTGAGAAGGTCATCGTTTTCTTCAGACAAAAGAAGGAGGCGCATAGGGTTCGAGTTGTCTTCGCACTCTGCGGGCTCAAAGCAAGCGAGCTTCACGGTAACATGAGTCAAGAGCAGGTAGGTTGTTCTCTCCACTGTTTACACAATGCGATACTGACAGCCTCATAGCGTATTCAAGCCGTTGAAGCGTTCCGTTCCGGCAAGTCATCTTACTTGCTTGCAACTGACGTTGCTTCGCGTGGTCTTGATATCAAGAACGTTTCAACAGTCATCAACTACGAAGCGCCTCAAACGCATGAGATCTACTTGCATCGTGTCGGCCGTACGGCTCGTGCCGGACGAAGCGGTCGAGCGTGTACACTTGCCGCAGAGCCAGACCGTAAAGTGGTCAAGCAAGCGGTAAAGGCATCGCGTGAGCAAGGAGCCAAGGTGGTCAGCCGTCAAGTCCCTGCCGAGGAGACGGAGCGATGGATGAAGAAGATCAAGAGTCTGGAGAAGGAGATTGAAGAGGTTTTGGAAGAGGAAAAAGAGGAGCGTGCCATGACTGTCACTGAGCGGGATCTCAAACGCGGTGAAAACCTGATTGTACATGAGGATGAAATCAAGGCTCGGCCGAGACGTACATGGTTTGAGACGGAGAAGGAGAAGCTGGCTGAAAAGGAGAGGGGTGCGGCAGCGCTCAACGGGCCGGCTGGAAGCAAGGACAAAAAGAAGAAACTCAGCGGCAAGGACAAGAAGAAGCTCGAAGCAAAGGATGTGCGCAAAGATGGCAAGCAGTGGAAGAAGGGCAAGGGGGATCGTGGTATGAGCACAAGGACGGCAAAGGAGAAGCAGTCCAAGATGAAGTCCAAGTCCAAGAAGATTGCGGCCAAGTCGAGCTTCAAGGGCTTCAAGGAGTAGGCATGTAGCTGGGTTTAGTGTTTTTTTTTGCATAGTACGACGAGAGAAATGTACACTTACATAATGGCAATACTGACAATGGGGCTGATGTGCGGTTGACCTCTTGTGCCAAGCAAGCCCCTATCTGGCTTAGGCGGGTAGCCGGGACCTGACGGACGAACTGGCGAAGGAATTCTGGCGCTCAATTTCCAGGTACCACAAACCTGCACTCGGCTTGCTCTTTGACACGTACACTACACGCTCTCCCCGCAGACACCTGCATACCCTCACTTTGCTTTTGCGGCGGTTCGTCCCACGACGCTGTGTTCCCTCGACCCTTGCAGTTCCTGCAGCCCAGAGGTTCGTTATCAGCTTATCGGCGCCGACTAGACATTCGACAACTTTCCGGCCCGCACAGCTCCAACAGCTACCGCCGGCTTCACACGACACACTCCGCCCAACCATCAACGCGTCGCCTTGGGCTCCTTGCATCGGATCACACACGACTGCTGGATTCTGAGCCTCCATCTGCTCTTCTTACTACACGCATCGCTGCTGCCTAGTACGTCAGAGCGTAAGCAGCGCACGCACTCGACCTTCACCCCAAAGTAAGCGCAGCGGGGTAATCCGGGACATCTCAGGCCACAAAGTCCAGCAAGTATCGAGTTTGCGCTTACAGTACGCGACTGCGCGACAGAGACAGTCTCTTTCATCATGGCATCTGTTCAGCAGCAAGCCAATGGCAACGGCAATGGCGCAGCAGTGAGGCCCCCAAGACCGGAGCACGAGGGCCCACAAGAGAACATCTTCCTCTTCATCCCCAACTTGATTGGTATGCCTGCTCTTCTCACACCATTTTCGCTATTCAGCTAACAGAATGATAGGTTACTCCCGCGTCGTCCTTGCCTTGACATCGCTCTACTACATGCCCCTTCACCCACGCACATGCACTCTCCTCTACAGCGTATCCTGCCTTCTGGATGCACTGGACGGCTATGCCGCCCGCAGATATGAACAGAGCACCAAATTCGGGGCTGTGTTAGACATGGTCACGGACAGATGCACAACAACCTGTCTGCTCGTTTTCTTAGCTCAGGCTTTCCCTAGGTGGAGCATCGTGTTCCAGCTGCTCATTTCCCTGGACCTGGCGAGCCACTACATGCACATGTATGCCACCTTGAGCATGGGTGGTAGTGCGCGCAGCCACAAGAATGTCGACGAGAGCAGGAACTGGCTGTTGAAGCAGTACTACTCAAACAACGTACGTCTGAAATGTGGCACCGTTTGGTTGCATATCCCTTTCCATGCCTTGGTTACTGACAATATCTGCAGAAAGTTCTTTTCACCCTCTGCGCCATGAACGAAGTCTTCTTCATCGCCCTCTACCTTCTCTCCTTTAGCTCGCCCTACCTCTCGCCCACCCTGTTCTCCGACTCGAAGAACCCGTCTTCACTGCAGCCCGGCTCGCCCGCCGCCCCGGAGCCTTCCATGTTCTTCGCTAGCCCCTTTTCTGCTGCAGCTATGGAGATGGCT